CCAAAGAGGGGTCAGCTTAAACACTGGAAAAATATAATAATTTAACAAGCAACTTGATGAAAGTGGAGGAAACAAACCTTTGGTACAAGAAACACAGCACATTGATATGCAAAAGGTCCAAAGTCCTTTTGGGCATCGAGAAGCACAGCTCTGTAACAGAAAAGGGAAACCCCAGGTTCACCTAAACTAAGCTGAACTCTACGACTTGGACAAAGCTCTGCCAGATTTCCCTCAACTCCGATTTTCAAGTCTTCTAGTGCATATGTTATATCAGAACCACTGGAATAATCTGCACGTATTTTATTTTCATCCTCAAGTGCTTGAAAGAGTCCATGAACCTGTAAAGTAGAAAGAATAGCATCCCAAGATCTCATCACGATTCACGTGTATGTATAAGCATTCTTAGTGAGCCAGCAATTGAAAATATCATAATGGGATGAAAGCCTTTACCTGGTTCTTTAGACCACCAAAGGACGACTGATCAACAGTTGACGATATTTGGCACAAAGCAGGAGAATTTTCTTTCTCGGCTACCACCATAAAAGTCTGTAGGCTTGACCTGTCAGATGGTTTCAAAGCAATGGGATGAATCCCCATCTTCCACCCATACCGAAACTTCGGGAAGAGTAAACCTTACAAGAGAAGGATTAAGCAATGGAATGATCATTCTTGAACAATGTACAACAGTAACGGGTATAGTTTGAATCATAAGGAGCCAAAATGCATAAATATGCCAGGAGAGATTTTGATTACCTAATACATGAGACTCTGCCAAAGTGAGGCAAATAAATCTCCCCCCGACTTTTAGCAATCTTTTAACCTGGTCAGTTTCAGGGCATTTAGGCATGAGTCAGAACACAGCGGACTTGATCATTTGCCTAATAAAAAACGATAATATTTTGAGAGCATACATCAAATGAGTGTAACGATTAAAAATGAGAATCAAGTTTTATTTTTAGAACACCTCAGACAAATACTGAGTTCCTAACTTTGATCCAAGCTCAGGCTCCATTAAAGCATCCAATCCTCCCTTGTCGAGAACGGCACCAAAGCTCTCCTTTGCAAACTAAATCATAACAAAAATAGTTTAGAGGAGAATATAGTCCAAAAATAAAAAACTATTAAACATGAGAAACATCTTGCAAATTAAGAAGCATCCTTGACAAACAGCCAACAAGTAGCAACATTGCACCAGAAACAGGACATCGCAGGTTATTTATGTCCCCAAAGCCAAACAGAGCACTACTGTTCTTTTTTTTCAATTCTTTTTTATTGGTTTCTTTTGATAAGTGGGAACATTCATCCGGTCTTGAAAATGTATCTTCATCCTAAACTTGGCAGTTACACCATTTTATTATCGCAATTTTTGTCCCATCAAATGGTTAAATTTCTGCCCCACCAACATTTACGGGAAAGCTAAAATTTGTCACTAAATGGTACCTTTTTCTTTCATCTACTGCTTAAAGATAACATCTTTTCTCCTGGTACCATCTTAGTGACAGATTTACACTTCATGTTATAATACATTACTAATTTACTATTACCTGTTTTTAAAAAAATGACAAATTTTAACCTCTCGACAGCAGAAAATGCATGATATACATTCTATTGTATTAAAAACTATACTTTCTATATCCCATTTATGTGGCACCATTTGACTGTTAATTCAAACTAGTTTTGGAGCTTTTTCAGTTTTTGTAAATTGAAAACCTGAGTTCCAATATTTTTTTAAAAAGGTAACCTTTTTCAATATTTAACTCAAATAAACCTTCTAACAAAGCTCAAAAACTGCATTTGCAAACTCAAAAGTTCCAGAACTTCAAAGCAGCCTATCTAGTTCTATAGAGAAAACTTACCATCCAAATTCAAAATCAAAAATTCAATGTTTTAATTTGTGAAAGCTATCAAATAACATTACCAAAAGGCATCAAACATCTTAGAATGTACCAAAATAACAAACAATAACAATAACGCCTCAGTCTCAAACAAGTTAGGATCGGCTATTTGAATCCTCACTGAACATGTTACTCAATATAAACTCATAACAATTATGCCTCAGTTGCAATAAAACTGTATGAATCCTCACCGACCATGTTCTACAACAACAATCATAACAAGATATTTTCGATTTAGACCACCTATTCTATTGAGCTGCTCTTAACTATTTCCAATGTAACATAACTATCTACCTGCATATTCGTCATGTCCATGACACGCCATTTCATAACAGGTCTAGCCCGAATATTTCTTCTCAACATATCCGAAATAACAACTTTAGAGAAATCAACATTAGTAATATTACAAAACCCCTCATCATAGAGATACTCAGAGAGCTTCGAATTGCCACAACCCGGAACAAGAATTTGCAATTCTTTTGCAGAAACGGCGTCGTTTGATGATGGAATTGTGAGATTAGAGAGAAGTGGTTCTTTGAGCTGAGACCACTCTGCGTACCATTCAAAAGCATCATCTGAACCTCTGATAGTGAAGAAACTGTCCCAATTCTCTTTGCTTGTAAAATCTCCCAATGTTTTCAGCAATTCTTCTTGATTTTGGACCTTTTTTTTGCTGCTTTTTCCCCATTTCGCTGAGAAATGTGTTAGAAAAAATGCTGGATTTTGAGGTTTTTTTTTTTAGGGTTTAAGGTGTTTTGGGGAAGAAGAAGAAAGAAATATGAGGGTATTTTAGACATATGTATCCTAGTTGGCGGTCTACGTGTATTTTAGACATATGTATCCTATCGACATCTTACGGGGCTTCTAATAAGTTTTTACGTTATATTATATACTATGCATGTATTTACTTGTTAAACTTTATATAAATTACGTGTCTATTTATCTATATTCAAAATTGAAGGACATAGATGTTCGTTAAAATCAAGTTAAATAACATATTTATGTATTATATGTCTTTATTTTTTGCATATGAGAGATATAGGGAAAAAGCATTTTATGTGAGTGATTATAAAACATCACTTTTCACTTTGGAATTTGGTGACATAAGAAAATAATGTAATTGTTTGATAGACAATAATTTAATTATAATTAGCAACTAAAGATTTTAACTTGTCTATATTATGTTGTGTGGATATCCGATGTTGATATGATACATATATTTATAAGTATTTAGATAATTATTCTGTAAATTAGAGTGTTTAATTGATATAGTGAAAGAGGAATTGAATTGCTTAGATGTTTATACTTGAACTTTTGTGAAAATTTCATTTTATTTTGAAAGCTCATAACATTGATTTTGATAAATTCTAATGTAATTCTTCATTTCCCTAAATAATGCCTACAAATTGTTGAATATAAACTTCGTTACAAACAAATTTGTTTTTGTTCTTTCATCTAAAAGGGGTAAAAACATTAAATTTATTTTGGATTTACAAATCTGGTCAAGATGTAATTACTTCCAACTTCCCAACTTCCAAGTATATATAAGTATAAAACTTCAACTTCTCTAATTGAAAATAATATAAAATTTCAAATACATTTTGAAATAAGTTTCTCTATGAAGAAAATTTTACTTTTCGTATTTTTATTTTCATTCACTCTCCATAAAGTTACAAGTTTCTCACAAAGAACATATCATGTGTATATTGCTAGTGCACTCCCAGAGAATTCAACTGTAAAATTGAAATTTCACTGTCAATCTAAGGATGATGATCTTGGAAATCACGAACTTCTTCCGGGACAAAATTGGAGTTTCAAATTTCATGAGAATTTTATTAGATCTACTCTTTTTTATTGTGATTTTGAGTGGGATGGAAAACAAAAAACTTTTAATGTATTTGATGATTCAATTGCATGTATTAAACAAGCAAAAGGTGATCAAACTGATACATGTTATTGGTTGGTAAAATCAGATGGGTTCTACTTGGCCTATAAGGTTAATCCACCATCATGGGCTTTGACCAAATACTATGATTGGTGATAATATTTATAATCTTTAATTATATTTGTACGATAATATAACGATATCGTTTGTTTGACTGTCTTTTAGTTGTCATAAAGAAATATTGTTATAAAGAATATGTATCTCTATAACATAATATAAAAAAATGATTCTAAAAAAGTAATTGTTATAAAAGATTATTGTTATATAAAAAGGTTAGAAGCAATTGTATTGACAAAATTTAAAAAAAAATCTTTGTCTATAATTCATCTAATCAAGTTTTTAAATGTTAAAAGCATTTATGTTTTTTTTAAAAAAAATTTATAGAGAATGAAGATATTTAACCAGACTTTTGGTGTAGAAAAAAATATTTTTGACTAATAGAAGTTGACTTTTAACCAGAGGCTTGAAAAACGATTTCTCCCCAAAATAAATGCTTCTAGTATTTCATGTCTAAAAATATACTCCCTCAGTTCATTTTTACTTTTCACTGTTTGGCGTGGTACTTTCTTTAAAAAAATAATTATTGGTATAAGATTTTATCAAACTATCCCCTATTAAATGGTGTTTAGTAATAATTCTTGAAAAATGATTTAAAGAATAAATATTTAATGTTGAAGATAAAACATGAAAAAAAAATTGTCTTTTCTTGATATGTCAAAAGTGAAAAGTAAAAATAAAAAAATTATTTTAGGACTAAGTAACACGTAAAAGTGAACGGAGTATTTGTCAAACTATAATTAGTTATAACTTCCCTTTTTCGCAATCTAACACTTAAAATATTTTTCTAAAAACATTGGCCAAACACATATTACTAATAAAAGTATTTCTGAAATGATTTACCCAAACACAAACTACTAATTTCCTAAAAAAGAAACATTTTTAATAAGAAATACTTCTCAAAATAAATTAATTTCGCTAGCTTGATCAAACAGAGTACTAATTATTGCTTTTATTTCATGAGAATAAGAGAACAAGTTACAACGGGTACATATAAGATATTACATTTATGATATATAAAAAAATCACCATGTTTATCACATATGTTATGAATTAATATTAACTTCACATAGAACTTAAACAAAATTTATGTTTCAAATATTTCAATTCCAATCAATTAGACATTCCATTGTAGGTAACAATTCTTGCATCTCACCCTTCTTGATTCTTTGAAGCTCTTTAGCAACATCAATCATATTTGGCCTATTTTCTCCAATTTTTTGAGCACATCTCAAAGCCAAATTCAAAAATCCCTTCAACTTCTTTTGTTCATCTTTCAAAATCTTGGAATCAATAAAATTATCCTTCAATTTATTATTTTTAACACATATTTTTGCATAATTCTCCAAAGAAATCAAACCATAATCTTCACTATAATATTTTCCCTCATGATTTACCTTAATTTCTCTCCCACTCAACAACATAAGTAAAAATAAGCCAAAACTAAAAACATCTGATTTTAATGTAACTTTACTCGACCACACATACTCAGGATCTAAATAACCAATTGTCCCTATTAAATCATCTTGAACTTGTACTTTACCAATTGGAAGTGGTATACAACATTCAAAATTATACAATTTTACAACCCCATTTTGGTCCAAAATCACATTATGTGAAGTTAAATTCCTATGAATAATTGGTCTTGGAAATTCAATATGAAGATATAGAATCACACTTGCAATATCTATAGCAATTTTCATTCTTTTTTCCCATGTCAAAAATTGAATACAATTGAAAAGATAATCAAATTGTGAATATTCATAAATTAAAGCTACCCTTTCAAACTCTAAACAATATCCTATAATTTTAAGGACATTTTTATGGTAACTCATTTCACTAGATATTACTATATCACGTATGACATGATCGTGCTGACGTTTCATGTTCTTTTTTCCATCGTATTTTTTTACTAGAACTTTTTTTTTATTGAAATTACCTTTGTATAAGTAGGGGCCAACATTTTCTTGAAATCCATTTGTTGAATTGATGATTTCTTCTGCAGTGAAACTTCTTATGGGGACTTTATGGTGGCCATTTTTGCAAAATGAAAGTTGTTCTTCTAGTAATGAACTTCCATTTGTGAGGTAATTTTGATATTTTTCTTTTTCTTCTTTTTTTTTTTCATTCTTTTGAAGAAAAGAAGGAAGTTTTTTGCCTAGATTAATATTCATGGAGATGAAGAGAATGAAGATTTTAAAAAAAAATTGTGATAAATTGATGGATATTGAAATTATTATTTTTTAATATATAAAAAAGAGAATTTGGTCAAAGATGAAAACGTGTGAAAGTTTAGTTTGAATTATTTATGGTTTGCATGTTCACATTGACTCAAATATTCCATTTGCTAAATGACGCGTTTTAATGGTGTATAGGTATAGGTTCATAGAATTCAGTAATTTCGATTCAATTTTTATATTTATTTCAAAAAAATTAATAACATACATATTTAATATATTTAGAATTTAATAAGCAAAAAGAACTATACATTCAAACATCTCAACATTATTAGTTCTGATTTTCTTTTATTGGAACAGTGAAATGTTATTATAAAGAGAACGTATAATAAAACAAAACATGAAAATTGACTCAGATGCAAATTTAATTGTTATGGTGAAATGTCAAAGATTGTTAAAAAAAGCCATTTAATGGCGGTATGGAGTTATTCACTAGATTACTCTTTATCTTAATTTATACAAGTTTAAATGCTTATTTGGATACTCAAAGTTGAATGACATAGATATCAACTTAGGCTAAATTAAATGATACGCTTATATTTTTATATATATATATATATCAAAAAATAACTATAACTTTAAAAATCAAGTTAAATTAAGATTTGATTACACCGAGTAACCAACAATCAAGTATTTCACCAGATCATAACTCTTATCTTTTCCTTAGCTAACTTATGAGTGGAATTAGAAAAAAGAGATTAATGATTATTAATGGAATTAGTCTAATTGACTTTTATAATCTGACTTGATTTATTATAATTTCTGTAACTTATATATATTTATTACTTGTATAGTTTCAAGAATGCATATATATATATATAGTCCAACTTCTTATTTCCTAGACACATAGTAAAAATGTGTTATCAAAAAACAAACTATCAATTGATCAATGTTATGATCTTCCTTATGCTCTTCCTTATGCTCTTCTTACCTTTTCATTCCGTAGGAGCGAAACTTCGTGAGAAGTCATATTTCGTCTCGATTATTAATAATCTGAAAAATAGTTCTGTTCCATTAAGGATTCATTGTCAATCCAAAGACGATGATCTTGGATATCATGATCTATCATATGATCAGAGTTTCGACTTTGAATTTGAAGAACAAATATTCTTTAGAACTCTTTTCTTTTGTCATTTTTGGTGGCCTCCAAAGCAGAATATTTTTGATGTGTTTAATAATAGAAAGAGATGTATAAAGCACGGACCTTTTCATACACACACATGTATTTGGTTGGCTAATTTAGATGGACTTTCTTTAAATGGAGTTAAAATACATGATTGGTCAGAAATGTTATAAACTATATGTTTATTATCTTATTCTAATGAAAATAACAATATTATGAATTAATATAAGTAACTATGTTATAGTGAATAATATTTCCTATTTCCCGTCTCACCCCTCCCCTAATGTTATTATAAGAATTACTAGTTAGTATATGCGTCTTCATTGACATGTCTGCTTCAATCAAGAGTAGTTTTATCTTTTCATACGCACCTATATATGCAACTAGAAGTAAACGCGTTTTCATTGACATGTCTGCTTCAATCAAGAGTATTTTTATCTTTTTATACGCACCTACATGATATCACGATTAAAAGAGAAAGAGCAAGGGCGGCTCTTGCATTTATAAGGGGAACTTTCACATATAGCCACTCAAAAATAGCCTAATTACTCTCCATAGCTATAGTTTGATAATTACAATTTGTAGCTACATGTTATATGGAGGAGAGAGGGGGCAGAGAGTGGGAGAAAGGTTAATTGTATATGTATATAGGTTAGATAATTGTATATTATACATATGTATTTGTATATATGGCAAGCGAGATTGGGAGAGGGAGGAGAGAGGCGAGCGAGATTAGGAGAGGGAGGAGAGGGAGGAGAGAGGCGAGCGAGAGAGGGCAGAGAGTGGGAGAGAGGTGAATTGTATATGTATATAGGTTAGATAATTGTATAGTATACATATGCATTTGTATATATGGCAAGCGAGATTGGGAGAGGGAGGAGAGAGGCGAGCGAGATTGGGAGAGGGAGGAGAAAGGTGAGCGAGAGAGGGCGGAGAGTGGGAGAGAGGTGAATTGTATATGTATATAGGTTAGATAATTGTATATTATACATATGTATTTTGTATATTCTGGCAAATTATACATATACAAATGTGGCTAATTATACAAACTCAAAGTCAACCCGCGTAATTAATGTATAATGTTAGTCATGAATGGTAATTATAGCAAACTATAGCTATGATGAGTAATTAAGTAATACAAGTTTGCTTAACCGCATAATTTTCCCTACAAAAGAATTTGAGGCATATGCAAATTGGGGGACTCAAATTCTTACCAAGAATAAATTTTTTGTTAATTTTTTAACATAAAATTATATTATTCTGTTCTCCTTAACCCCATTCAAATAGAAAAAATCAATTATTTTTCGCTAACACTCATATTATTTATCTATTTGAACTCTTTTTTTTTTTCAAATCTTTGATAAGGTAGAGTAATAGTCTGTCAAAAATATGAATTAATAGTCGAAAAGTGTTGAACAAAGTAAATTACAAATTCTTTTTTTTATTTCTTCTTAAATTTTCAAGCAATACAACAAACATTTTAAAGTAGGATATACCAATTATCAACTTCTTGAATCAAATTCTATGATTTTAACTCTTGTTTTTATTTAAAGTTTGTCAACTTATTAGTAAGAATTGTTAAGAATTATGTTAACATTTCATATAGTAATGACCCCAGTAAAAGAGTGTTTTCTAATGTTGAATTGATAAAATCTTACCAAAAACTAATAATAATAAAAAAGATATTTGAAGAAATCATCTATAAAGAAATTTTAAGCAAAAATTTACATCTAAAAAGTTAGAAAAATAATTTTTAAATAAATACATATGAAGTTTATTTAGATTTTAGGCCTCTAATTGAAATCTAAAATTAGAAAAATAATTTTTAAATAAATGTATATGAAGTTTATTTAGATTTTAGGCCTCTAATTGAAATTTCGGTTTAGGCCTCTAATTACTTTGAGCCACCCCTGAGAAAGGAGGGGGGGGGGGGGGGGGGGGTTGTGGTCTTTCTTTTGCCATGTAACTTGAACAACAGGTTAGCCATGATTAAGTAGGCGTTTGGATATTAAAATAATGTGATATTTGGAAGAAAAAAAAACTAAAGTTAAGTTTTAAAAATGAATTTAATTTAAAAATTAAAATTGTGTTTGAACACAATTTAATTTTTTATTTTTTAAAAAAAGAAATTTGAATTTGTGGGTGCAGAAGATTTTTCACTAGAAAAATTGGTCAAAATTTCTATTTTTAAATTTGAAACTTATCTTTAATTTATTTTTTCTTCGAAAAATCAATCCAATATATAACCAAACATCATTTTGATTATTTATTTATTTTTTTTAAAAAAAAAAGAAGGGGTGGGGGCAATTATAGTAAGAACATAACATGATATAATGAAATATCGAGAAAGTTCATTTTGAATCAAACTTTTAAATATATTTTTAAAAAGGCTATTTTTTACAAATTTAGGGATAAATGCAAATGTTTTTCCCAATTTGATGAAAATATCTGTACTAGTTATTCAAAAAGGTAAGAAATCCAGTAATAATTTTCCATACATACCTATATTGGTTAGTGGTTAATTATTTAATGTTATAATCTGATCTTGGTATATTATAATTTCTAGAACTTATATACATTTATTATATATATATATATATATATATATATAGATAGATAGATCCAACTTCTCATATTTTCTACACATAGTAAAAAATAAAAATGTGTTCTCAGAAAACAAACTATCAATTGATCAATGTTATAATCTTACTTGTACTCTTCTTATCTTCTTTTCATTCGGTACAAGCAGAACTCCGTAAGAAGTCATATTTAGTCTCGATTATTAATAATCTACAAAATAGTTATGTTCCATTAAGGATTCATTGTCAATCATGTGGCCAATCTGTGTTTAAAACAGAATTACAGATCCCAATAAACTTTGCAGAAACACAAAGTAACCAAAGTTTTAATGAACCAGTAAGAACAGAAGAACATAAACTAATTCAGAACAATTAAAATCTGTATAACATACCAAAATCTGGAAAAAGACATAACGGAAAAGATCAAGCCCACTGAATGCACAGTGTCCCCTTAAGGAAATTATTCCCCTCTAGTATCCGAGGTTTGATTTGGAATATGTCCACTAGGATAGAATGATCTCAATCACCAGTGTATTGATACCCAAAACTATGGTGTCAACGAACCACTCAACAGCAGTAAAGTACACGAAGAAACTTTGTGCAGAAGAAGAATAAGAACAAATCAGAAAAATTCGTAAGGAAAAAATCTGAAGAATCAATGTATTTATAGGCAAGAGGAACTGGTTCCGAAAGGTTGCAACCCTTTCAGAATCCACACGACCATTCATGAAAGTTTGCAACCTTTCAAACGGTCATGGCTGTTTCTGAAAGTTGCAACCTTTCAGAATAGTCACTTCCAACGGCGGGAAATTTAAATAAAACGGGAAAGAATTTAAATAAAACTGGTCGCACGCGGATCCGAGTCGGGTCGGTCAATTAACTGAATAATTGAAACGTTTCGGTTAATTAACTAATTAATTGAAACGTTTTGGCCATTTAATTTAATTTAATTAATTAAATAAATAATTAACTAAATAATTAAAACAAACTTTGTCCAAAAAATAATCTCTCGATCATTTTCCAAAGCCGAAGTCGAGCCGAGCGACGACAACGACGGCGCGAGGGGGGTCCCTCTTTCCAACCCTTTTAACAATTAATAGGAGTGTTTCTATATTTAAACTCTCCTATTGTTCTTTCCACCACCGATGAGGGAGAAGTGCCTTTTCACTAAAGCAAAAGAGGACTTTTCAAGTTCCTCTCTTTTCATCTTCCCTCCATTTCCCATTAACTCTTGCTATATACCCAACA